CCCCAAAACCCCAAAACCCCAAAACCCCTTGTACTCGTAATTTATAATTTCTTGAAAACAAGATAAAACATTGATTCTCTTACTAAATATATATTTATTTTATATAAGCTAAGTAATAATGTCAGACAAGAAGGAGAATACAGAAGTTGAGCCAGCTTAGACTGAGGCAGTTCCTGTTAATAAAAATAAAAAGTACAGAAAGGACAAGCCTTGGGATAATGATCCTAATCTTGACAAATGGAAGATTGAACCTTTTAACCCTGAAGATAATCCTCATGGAGTCTTAGAAGAATCATCATTTGCTGTATTATTCCCATAATATAGAGAAAAGTATATTAAGGAAGTATGGCCACTAGTCAAAAAAGCCTTATCAAAGTTTAAAATTGTTGGAGAATTAGACTTAATTGAAGGCTCAATGTCCGTGAAAACTACAAGATAGACTTGGGATCCCTACAGTATTATCAAAGCTAGGGATATGATTAAACTTTTAGCCAGAAGTGTACCTTATTAACAAGCAGTAAAGATTTTAGAAGATGATAATATGTTCTGTGATATCATAAAGATTGGTGGGATGGTGAGAAACAAAGAAAAGTTTGTCAAGAGAAGATAGAGGCTCATTGGTCCCAATGGTATGACTCTTAAAGCTTTGGAATTATTGACTAATTGCTACATCCTCGTTCAAGGAAATACTGTATCAGCTATGGGATATTTCAGAGAGCTCAAATCAGTTAGAAGAATTGTAATTGATACAATGAGAAATGTTCATCCAATTTATAACATCAAAGAATTGATGATTAAGAGAGAGCTTGCAAAGAATCCTGAGATGGCAGGAGAGAACTGGGACAGATTCTTGCCTCATTTTAAGAAGTAAAATGTAAAGAGAAAGTAGAAAAAAGTAGATAAGAAGAAGAAAGACTATACACCATTCCCTCCTGAATAAACTTTAAGAAAGGAGGATTAACAAATGTTGTCAGGAGAATATTTCTTATCAGAAAAAGCTAAGTAAAACGTTGAGAATGAAAAGAAAAGGGTTGTTAAAGAGTAAAAAAAGCAAGATAAAATACAGCAAAAACTTAAGTAGTTTGAGGCACCAGATGAAGACAAGGAAAAAGAATAAAATAAAGCAAAGAAAACAAAAAGCAATAAGGAGTAAAAAGAGGATAGTAAGCCCATTCTAAATAGCAAAAAGCCAGATATTGATGAACTAAAGAATAAATTCTTGAAAAACAAGAAGAAATGAGTTGCTTATTCGAATAGATGCCTTTTAAGGGTGATTAATTAATAGTAATGATTTTAAATTAAATATTTAATATTCACACTAATAAAGTTTAGCTCTAATCAACTGTGAAAAGCTAGGATAAGCAATCCTTCATTCACATTTAATCTATTTTAACTAAAGCAAATTCACATTCTAGCTATATCATATATTTTATGATCTTCATCTTTGCCTGAATTTAGGTATGACAGATACCTTAGGTATACTATCAGATTCGCTTTGAAGGTTTGATTCAGTTTTAAGCTTTACGCATCCAGAGGATATTAGTTTGTTTTCTACTGAGGTTTAGAATTGGTCAGCTTTTCCAGAACATCCTCCAGTTACTTGCTATTTCTCTTGTTTGATTTAATTTCTAATTTTCTATAACTATGAATTCAAAAATTCATGTCTATTTTAATAGTAGTCTTCCCTTTAATTTTATTCATGATCCACATCATCAATTAAAACATTTGGGTTCATCTTCTAGATGCGAATATTTTGCTATTAAAGAGCTTCAAATCCCTCAAGAGTCTCCATTGGGTTGTTATTATTAGTCAGAAAGCTTCCCAGAGATTCGTCATTTATTTGATTCAGAAGCAACTAATGCTGATTGAAATCTTGAAGTAATTGAGCTATCTACTTTGCTCCTTCAGTCATAATTTTTGAGGAATCGATTTAAATATCTTACATCTTGGCTTATCCCAAATCATTATATTCTATAACACTTGATAATTCTTGCCATAAGTGCTAAGTATTTACCAAAGGGGATTTCGATTTTTTATGATTTGAGTTGTTGAGATTGTATCTTTTAAAGCCAGTTTTTTTATTATCGAGATTCAAAATGTATTAATCTTTATATTCACAATTGTATTTATTTTTAACAGTTATATCTGGAATTTTGTCTGTTTGCTAAATTAATTTCTTTTTTGGATTGTAGTCTATTATGAAATCTTCATCTTTTGGAGATTAAATACAGCTTATAGATAGATTTTTCTAAACTAAAAGCTCGTTTTATTTCTTAGGCTAGAATTTCTCAACCTTATTAGTCAGGAACGGCTCTATTTTTTCATTTTAATCTTTTGTTAATCTATCCACTGATGCTAACACGGGAATTATTGATTTTCGGTTTTCATCTTAATTAGACTTATTATATTGGCCCAACTGCTAAAATATTACAGCAAATTTATTATCGTTAACTTCTTTTATTGATTCTAGTTTTTAATGAATACCATTATTTTCTGCTACTAAGAACTCAACTATTTGCCTTAATTCTTTTATCTAAATTTCAGTATTTTGATTTTAATATTTATTAGGAGTTGCTTGCTTTGATCTTTGAGAACAAAGTCCTTAGTTATTTAAATTTTAGTAATCATTGGTCTTATCCTAAAGATAATGGAATATTTTGTATTTTGATGAACTTTCTTTTGTATAATTATAGCTCTCACTATATTTGTCTTCGTCATCTTCGACAGTGTGTAGCGATGGTTACTTTTTATCTTGTCTCTAGGCAATTGGCTTATTATGATTTTCTTTATCCTGCTGAACATTACTACTTGCTCCTCTCATGGGACTTTTGCTCAATGAACCCTCTCTACTCACTTGCTATGTTTAGCTGTATTATTTTCTATAGCTTATATTCTCTGGATGATGCTGATTAAACTGCTAATCAAATTACTCTATTATCCCATTTAATTCCTCGAGGTCTTTTGTATTTCTTTTTTACATTATCAGCTTATTGGATTAAATAGTTGTTGTAGCTACAACTCTATTTCCCATTAGATTCGCAGAGGACTAGCTTTTTGGCATTCCATCAAAGTTCTCTTCGTGATTTAATCTAGATGGCAGTGCATTATTTCTATAAGTTTGTAAACCCATTGATGGAATGTTCTTGCTGCAATTAGACGGTCTCAAATGATCTTAATGGGATTCTTCATCTTTAGTTTAACTACCTCCATTGAAAGTGCCGTATAATGACTAAGACTAACTCATATTTGATTGAGCAGGGGCTATCGATTTCCTAGAAGCTGATTTATTTTTGAAGTAAGGATTCAATGGAGCTCCACTAGTGCTCTGGTTTCTCTAATGGAAGGAGCTAAAGACTTTAGGATTCTAAGGTTAGTCGTTTGAGTCCTGCTGCTAGGAATGTTATTTACGATTTATTTATGAGCTTTAATTTTATTTCATTAACAGATAATTTTTAATAATCATTTTTCATTTTTTAAGACATTTATCACCAAGGGGTTTTGGGGTTTTGGGGTTTTGGGGTTTTGGGG